TTTTCCCCAACTAATACCATTTATCAACATCTAACCAAATAAATAGTACAGAACAACATGCCTTTCCAAATAAAACTAAGCCAACTTCACTGATTCATTATGCGTCATTTGAAAGTAATGAAGGACAAAGCAAACTTGTCCACCTGCTCATTGAAGACACCACCAATTCCAAACAAACCAAGAAGTATATGAGGCTTGACTTTTTTAACCTAAACAAAATCCATTCCCTGCAATTAGTTTTTCTAAATTATGAAAGCATACACAAGGTTCTGAAAGATAACAGCAAACATCCATGATCCAATTGCACGTACCCAAGAAGCAAGCTAAATAACCGAAGGTTTCTTTTCCACACAATATCAATCTATATCAGCCTTGCATCAACATAGGCTGTCAAAAAACACTCCAGTAAGATTTACCACTTTAACGAGATTTGCTCCCTCCCTAAGTCCCAAACCCTCGATCTCCCAAGGGGTTTTAGCAAATGGTGCAGCTGCTGGATCAACACCCTTCCGTTCTGTTGTAATGAGACCCTGCATTTAAACCAGTACTTATCAAAAAAAATGAACCAAAAGTCAAATGGATGATTCCCTGAAAATGTAAATGAAACGATAAGTTCAGATTGCCACATTATGAGTTTTCCTTCTCATTCCAATGCAGGTTCATTCCCACAATTCATTCAGTTACATGCAGATAAGTAATTGATTATCATTACTTTGAAAAAAATGGTGAAATTCAGTTGATAACACTAAAAAAAAATAAAAATAAAAATCTCCTTTACAAATATGTTCAAAATATATGTTCTACACATTTTATTACAAGATAAATACCCAGTAACACATAATGAAGGCTAATACGGTAATTGACATTAAGAACAAAAAAGTTAGAGAGCAAGTAATACCTGTAGAACCACACATCTTTATCAAGTAGGAAAGACAGAGGATTTGCTCCAGCTCCTGCCATTCTTGAAACAGCCTTGTGCAACCATGTTAAAAACACCAAGCCCTGCACTGAAAGACAGAAAAAGAATAAGAAGACGCAACTCACAGCTGATATTACCAACCACCCTAAACCATAAAGAAGTAACACTTAAACCAGGAGTACAGCCATTACAATTGAACTTCATCAGTACCTTCCAGCTCCAACTACAACTATCTTTTGGTCCACAAAGTCAGTCAATGGTAGATCTTGTGCCCTTATCCAGTTAACATGAAAAGACAATGTTCAATAGAAAAATAGTGCATCTACAAACAAAAAATAGATAATTTAGAAGGCTTGAAAGACGAACCATTCACCGTCAGATTTGACATCGCAAAAATGGCAAGTTTAGGGGAATTTGACTCTCGCATGGCCTTAAGCACCTAATTTATCAAAGAAGACATACGCTTTACCAATCTCAAAAAGAGGATACACTTTGCCATTGTTGTGCTTAGTGCCTTGCAGCTAGACACTAAGGAGAATGGTTTTTCAAACATAGCCAGCCATAGTTACTTATCAAGTAGTAGGTATTTCAGAATGAGATCTACCTATACAGCAATGGTAATTTAATTAAAAAAAAAAGGCCAAAATTGTGCATGAAAGGATTAGTAAATTGAGGAAAAAACACCCACAAAAGTAGAGTAAACAAAGTACCGTTAAACACAAGAAGATAATTAAAAAAGAACGAGGGTTGATACAGTAACAAAGAATGTAATTGCCATGGATTTAACTGAGGTATTGTTCTATAGAGAGCATTTTGGGAAAATATTCATGTAGTCAATTCCAAGAGGTTGAAATTAGGTCTTTGTTGAGTTGAGCCAAGTGGATTTAACTGATAGTGATGACAACAAATGACATCTTGATGAGGTATGCTCCTTTGTCCTAATAATAAATAATTGTAAGTTTTTAGTAAGAATTGGATTATTTAGCGGAAGTTGGGAAAAAGTAAAATGATAATAGGGTTAATGAAGACCATCTCTACAAGGTATTGCCTACATCTAGGAAACAAGAACAAACAAACTTGAGTTCCCACCGCGCGCCGGGGGGGGGGGTTGTGGTATTTGATGTATTTTCCCCAACTAATACCATTTATCAACAACTAACCAAATAAATAGTACAGAACAACATGCCTTTCCAAATAAAACTAAGCCAACTTCACTGATTCATTATGCTTCATTTGAAAGTAATGAAGGACAAAGCAAACTTGCCCACCTGCTCATTGAAGACACCACCAACTCCAGACAAACCAAAAAGTATATGAGGCTTGACTTTTTTAACCTAAACAAAATCCATTCCCTGCAATTAGTTTTTCTAAATTATGAAAGCATACACAAGGTTCTGAAAGATAATAGCAAACATCCATGATCCAATTGCACGTACCCAAGAAGCAAGCTAAACAACCGAAGGTTTCTTTTCCACACAATATCAATCTATATCAGCCTTGCATCAACATAGGCTGCCAAAAAACACTCTAGTAAGATTTACCACTTTAACGAGATTTGCTCCCTCCCTAAGTCCCAAACCCTCGATCTCCCAAGGGGCTTTAGCAAATGGTGCAGCTGCTGGATCAACACCCTTCCGTTCTGTTGTAATGAGACCCTGCATTTAAACCAGTACTTATCAAAAAAAGATGAACCAAAAGTCAAATGGATGATTCCCTGAAAATGTAAATGAAACGATAAAGTTCAGATTGCCATATTATGAGTTTTCCTTCTCATTCCAATGCAGGTTCATTCCCACAATTCATTCAGTTACATGCAGATAAGTAATTGATTATCATTACTTTGAAAAAAATGGTGAAATTCAGTTGATAACACTAAAAAAAAAAAAAAAAAGATTATGGGATTCTTCAAACCATTCCAAAATGAGTACAATAATTCCCTAGTAAGTTTTGGGCAAATTTATAATTTCAAATTGTGAGTGATACGTTTGAAAAAGTATATTAAGGAGTTTGTAGTGTTTTGTGGGTATTACATTGCAGTATTACATTTGGGATTACATTGATTGGAGTGTTACGTTTGGGAAAAGTACACTGAGGAATTTTTTTGTGTTACATTAGAGTGTTATGTCTAGACAAAGTACACTAAGGAGTTTTTTTTTTTTAATGTTACATTGTTACATTTGGCAAAAGTACACCAAGAAATTTTTAGTGTGTTACATTAGAGTATTACGTTTGTTCATAATGATAAAGACCCTGCTGCTACTAGCTCATCTATTAAGTGTCAAGACCAAGCAGTTCAAGAAGCTCAACTAGCTCAACCCTCAACTGCTGCACCTGCACGTGTATCTCTAATTATTTAGTTTGTTAGAGTTATTAATCAAAGCTGTTATGTTGTTAGAACAGTTAACTAAAGATGGTTAGGTAGTTATAAGTCAGGTTAAGCTTAGGTTAAGATTGTATCACACTTGTATAAAAGCATTGTTGTAGCTTCTACTTCATTATTGAAAAAGAAATATCAAGATTAAAATCTTCTCTATTCTCTTTATGGTAGTAGAGCCTGAGGCTCTCACGAGCATCTGAAGAGTTCATCAATGGCTTCCACCATTGCTGCAGCTTCATCTTCTTCTTCTTCTGTCTCTACATCATTACCTTCAAATCTGACTTTGTTAATCTCGAATCTCAGTGCATTTGTCACTACAAAGCTTGATTCTTCAAATTACATAGTGTGGAAGAATCAACTTCAAAACATTTTGAAGGCAACAAATTTTCTCGGTTATATTGATGGATCTGAGGTATGTCCTTCATCCACTGTGCTTGATTCACAAAAACTTGAAGTCTTGAATCCAGCTTATACTGTATGGAATACTATTGATGCACATCTGCTAAGTTGTATCACTGCTACACTATCTCCCTCTATTTTCACATCTGTAATTCATTGTCAATCAAGTCATGAAGTCTGGATTACTCTGGCCAACGGAATTACCTCCATTTCTAGGTCTCATATACATCAGTTAAAGACTAAATTGAGTAAGATCACTAAGAAAGAAGTCACAATGGAAGAATATCTTAATCAATTCAAAGTGATAGCTGATCAACTTGCTTTAGTGTCTTCACCTGTGAAGGATGAAGATCTTATTCTTCTAATTTTGAATGGTTTGCCTGATGAATACATTTTTTCCCCTTTTTTAAATATAAGTACAAATCCTCTCCTAAACTGTCACATAATGCCATAATCATCTCCTTGGACATTGGATAATAGTGATGTATAAGGTAGGTAACACGTGAACATCTACAAAAGAATTCAAAGAAAGAAGAAAATGAAAAAGAATAACTAAAATATTAGAAGGAAAAAAAGGGTAACATGATTATATATTAATCTCTATGCTTTATGAAATTAGTTCATATTTTTTAGTGTACAAGATTGACCTCATTTAAAATAAAATTTTCAAAAAGTCTGAATAATAATTTCAGATTTACAAATTTCTAGTGGGGTCACTTGACCCAACTTTGTTATACATGGCTCTGCCCCTAAGGATCAAGGCATTACACCAACAGCTACTAAAAGAATACAAAAAGGGACAAATTTCCCAAACTAAAGACTGACAATAGGAAACTATTCCTCCAATTGTAATAAGTTAACATAGTGCACATAGAAGACACGAGGGATGTTGCATGTACAGTTACACCCAATTTTAATAGGTACCATATGCCATTTGTTTGGAACCAAATAACATGAAAAACGTAGACAACACATGAATGAAAAACCTTTTGACATGGATTTATCTTTAATATATATGAGGAACAAAAATTTTTTTTGTTTCCATTGAAATGGCCGAAATGTTGCCATTTCCCAAGAGACTGAAACGAAACACTAATGGAATAATAAAATTCTAGTGTTTTCATTGAAACACATCAAAACATAGTGAAACACACCGAAACATAGTGTGATATATAGAAAGAGTAAATTGTATCTATACAAATTTAGAAATTTTCATGAACATTTATTACTGCTGCTTAAGTAAATTTTTAGACCTTATTGGAAACTTTTGTTTTATAAAATTGAGTTATTTAACAATACTTAATAATTTTTAGTTCATAGTAACATTAGTTTTTTAATTCTTTTACGTGAATGACTATATGAATCTCAATTTGTTTAATTAATCAATTATTAGGCTTTTATACATTTAGATATATTTCAATTTATATTTTCAAGCATTTCTATTTTATCTTTATTTCATAAAATATTTCCGAGATGTTTTTGTTTCTGTACTATTTGAAGCAACACACTGAAACGAAATTTTGATCTTTGTATATATATATATATTATTATTTGAAATCCAAAGAACAGGAATCATCAATTTGTTGATTCTTTGAGCACACATGTGAAAAAAAAGGACAGGCTTCCACACACAAATGCAGTAGACATAATATCACACAAATTCAATTACAATATTTTTACGGTGTGTTAAACATCCACTGGTTCTGAATTGCTTAGGGAGATTAAGCATATGAAATACAAAACACACTAACAATATACAAAAAATTAACAAATTGTATGTAATGTCCCCATTAAAAACTTTGATGTGTAAGAATACACTTAATATTAAAATATCAACTAAAGCTAACAAGGCAGCAAAGATTAATCAAATAATGTCGATTCACCCTCTGAGCAAAATGGGTAGCATTTTCCTACTAATTTTCAAGGAGTAAAACAACAGGAAGATACTCGACCTATACAATTTAATAAATGACTTCATTCAACTTTTTACAACATACTAGTTATCCAGTAACCAAAATTCAAATTATAATATAGTCAAGGACACATCATATAAATGCATGTACATTTAAGCTGATGAATAATCAGTATTGATGATCTGTGAGAGAGAGTTAGTTATCAAAAGAAAAATAGCAAATTGGGGAATCACTATAACAACCTATATATATGAATTGCCACCTCATACAACATACTACCCAAAAATTTTACAAACAAAAATAGTGGGGAAGCCAAGCTCACTACATTTTCACTATATGCAACTATAGATAAATAAAAAATCACTCAACATACCTCCATGAAATTGTGAAACTATGAATGTTTTAAACATAAGCTTTCCCAAAGCCATATTGCCCCTAAACAAAATGAAAGGCCATATGATGCAAGTTAGGT